AAAAAAAAAAAAATCCCTAGATATTTATGTCTAAGATCAGGGAAAAAATCATCTAAATAGCAATCATCAAAATTAATATAATAGATGAACTTACTATGAAAATCTTTATAAGAACTGAAAGTTGGTACCTGAGAAAAATCTGAGTTGTTGCCTATATATCACTAAAAAGCTTACAATATCTTCCAAAAAAGGGAAACGTTCTTTAAAAATGTAACAGTTAATAATCCTAGAAAATATACCATATCTTTTAGGAGAAAAATGTTGCACTCCGGTTTTGGTGAGTTTTGGCTGAGAAGGAACTTTATCGCTTTTATTTAGAACTTTCCAAAGGAAAAGGAGACTCTGGTCCAGTTGGCAGAAATGTATTCTTTACAGACAAGCGGAAAAAATTCTCTTCAGTTTTAACACAGCCCTATTGAAACTTCCTACAAGACTCGCCAATTTTCATAACTTAGATATATACTCACCAAGCAAACTTCTGATTATTCATTCGATTTCCCCGGACCCTTGATACTGGGGACGGATGTACTCTGTAGGCAGATGAGAATAATCCAGTCATTAAAAAAGCACATTCCTGATTACAAATGAACAAAAGAAAAAAAAGATCTTATTTATAAATGATCTCTTGTAGGTATGCTTATTGCACAATGCCCCATAATCACCTCTTAGTAAATGAATACAGTTCATTCCTAGGCATTCACACCTGCAGTCTCTCTTTCCTCTTGTAGCACTTTTGACATAACAACGACTTGCCACAAGGTTCACTGAGAAGACCCCCCAAATGCAGAACCACCAGTTTTAGTTGAATGACAGATTCATTCGGTCCAACAAAAAAGTTACTGACTAGCTAATCTTTGCCAGGTTTAGAAGTGGGTAAAAGTAATAAAAGGTCTGATGTTTGCCTTCAATGAGTCCCGTCTGCTACGTCCTCCCACAAGGGATATCAGGGGGACTCTACGTGCACATTCCCTGAGTCAACTAGTAGAATTCAAACCCTAAGAAGCAAGATAATGAAGGTCAGAATATGCTACCCTCAAATACGCTACTTTGGCAGAAGGATTATTTTGAGTTGAAGACAAGAAACAGCAGACACAGAAGGAGGTCTATACTCTCCCTTTATATGCCTAAAAATAAGGACATAAATTTCCCTTTAGTAAAGGAAATTTTCATTTGTAAAGGGGTCCCGCCCCACCTCTACTACCGTGAAGTGCAACACACAACTCTTCACCTGTGATGGTACTGAGATGTGGCTGAGTCAACAATCCTTATTTGCCATGAGTTTCCCCCATCTGTTTCCTAGTTACCTTCCTACCATCTACCCGACTAGAACTTCAGACCCCACCTTTTCTTTTGACTCATCACTTCACAGTTTTTCACTCTTTGCTAAACGGTATATAAGATCCAAATTTTAACCCCTTTGAGTTACGACTCACAGAGTATTCCTGCATGCATGCATGTTATGTGTATAAACAGGTTTTTTCCCCCTTCTCACCAATCTGTCTTTTGTCAGTTTGTATGTGTGTGTATTTAGTCAGTTCGTCTTTTGTCAGTTTAATCTCCAGGTCCTCAGACCTAGAACCTGAGAAGATAAAAGAAAAGGGTTTGGTTTTTTTTTTTTTTCCTTCCACCAAAGTAACTTCATCCAAGTGTCCAGGAACAGAATCTGAGAATGGGGGAAGAAGGAAGGGTGAGCAGTTATTTCCAGGAGAAAAGCTTTCTAGGTGTCATGCTCTGCAGCTGGGCTTTGAGGAAGGCAGTCAATCCGAAACTTTAGCTAAATAATGGCGAAGCAAAAACTATTGTTGTACAAGCTTTCAGGGTTAGAGTCATCTGCTGGAAGTTTGTATTTCCAAGAACTGCTGATATCTTCCAATCAGGAGCTAGTTGCTGAAACTCCACCTCTTTGTGGGTCACTCACTGGCAACACAGTATGCCCTACTTCCTGCTTCCCTCTGGCCAACTTCCTGCTTTGTTCTATCTTTACTAGGATTTGTGAGATCTAAGCAGTCTTTCGGCTTGTGTTATTACATCCCACACATTTCTCTTATTTGCAAGACAGCAAACAGAAATTTTAAGCTGGTCTTTAAGTCAGAACCAGCGGCTCCACGATTCATTAGAACCCCAGTTCTCTATAGCTGTTTAGCACGTGAAAATTATTTCCAAACAGATAGTACTGTTCCAGCCCCTGAGAAGGGCCAGATGCAAACTTCCTGTAAATCCAGAGGCAGACTGCACTTTGCACTCGGAAGGCTTATTTCTTCCAACATCCCTTATTAACATTCTTTTCCTCACAGCGCTTCTCAATGGCTGCTGCAGCTGGGCGGCTCAGCACAGATTTTCTGCTCTGCATGGGGGAGGGGATGTTAATTATGCAGAAAGATGGAGAGAGGCCAGACAGCCCCTCTGGTGAACTGTCTCATTCAAGCACGGCCCACTTCCTGCTGTTTTTGCAGCTACAAGGATCACCTGTTGGTCTTGGCATCTGGCCAAACTGGGGCCTGGCGGAAATGACAGACTCAGCTAGAAATGAAAGCCAGCTCATATTCCAGCACCCCAAATTGGGGAGAGAGAAAAAAACACGCCACAGAAATGCATAAGAATTATACAAAAGGTAGCAAGACTCATTTCTTTTCTTTTCTTCTTTCTTTCATTCTGTCTGTTTGAAATACAAACATCGTAATGGAATTGTGAGCCAAAAAATGTCTCCTCAGTTAAATCCCCCCTGACCTAAGTCCTCTTAACCTTCTCCACATCCCCACTAGGGTGCCAGAGTCCTATTGCCTAAATAAAGTTCTAAGGAGTAACAGCCCAAACACTCACAATTCTTTAATTCACTCCACATCCTCTGACCAGATGAATTTTCATGACAGAAGTATATTCTTCTTGAAGCTTCTTATTCATAGATCAGTGGGAAAAAAATGGGCTTGTTTAACTTATAATTAAAATATTCCCTAGGTATTTAGATCTTTTAACAAAATCCCACTCATCCATAGTTCAAATACTGTAAGTAGATAATTTCTATCATGGTTTAGCGGTCTACAAAGAATTTCATGACAGTGTGTGTATGGACAAATAATTACAAAGTTTCTTAAATGAAAATAGTAAAACAAGAAAGCTTTTTTTTCCTTTCTGAAAGGGAGTAAATTGATAACCTGGAGCTTGCTTCATTTGATGAAGTAGACCATAAAAGGTTTGCATTTCAGCTACTCCCCAAATTTTATTTCTTTAAAAGGATACACAGTGTTTTTGTGAGCTCAGTCTACACTGTGGCACTTCTGGCCACCACCTCCCTTCTTTCCACAAATAGCAGCCAGGCAAGGTAGCAAAGTCAAAACCCCGGTAGGAGAAACCACCACCTCATCTGCATGTCATGCATTATTCATGACCTCCTGATTCCTGCACCTGCATCTAGGCAGGAAGCTTGCAGGGAATGTTCATTATTCTTCTTTTAGCCTCACACAGGCTCGATTACTGCTAAGCCACTTTGTTCTGTAACTAAGGGTTTCAGGCCTTAGTACTAACCGCTGGATATGGAAAGAAAAAAAAATCACCATGCTGAAGAAAAGAACAATTTTGGTTGTTGTGCAACATGTATTGAATCCTACAACGTGCTCTTCTGAGACTGACAGTTACTGTCAGATGGAAATGCTCACATTTGGTGATTTACATTACACAGAAAAAAGGGAAGCCATACCATTAAGGCCATGTATAGCAACTGTTCTATTTACATACACTTACTCATCTAAGGCAGACAGCATGTCTATAATTGTGCCCAACTCAGGGCTTAATTTAGCTTCCTTGCTACGCATGTGGGAACTTTTTAAATATCTTAATACAAAAATGGTTCTTCTTCTTTGGGTATAAGCTGCAAAGAACCTGACCCTCAAGTCTTGTATTTTAATGACTAATATTTATTGTAAATCAAGAGAATATGATCACTCTGCTTTTCAATGTTTTTATGAACATTCCTGAATGGCTAGTGGCTGGAGGTTGGATAGGAAATCCAATACTCAACATGAATTACTGATTACTAATGAACTGCTGGGGAAAGATACCATCTACTTTTTTACTCTCCCCACCAGGGAAAAGCCATGCAGCTTAAATCCAATCTTACAGTCCCAAATGAAATTAGGATGATGTGAAAACAAACTGTGGGAGGCACCTGGGTGGCTCAGTCAGTTAAGTCTTGATTTTGACTCAGGTCATGATCTCGCGGTTTTGTGGGTTCCAGCCCTGCATCTGGCTCTGTGCAAGCACATGGAGCTTGTTTGGGATTCCTCTGCTCTCTCTGCCCCTCCCCTGTTTGAGCTCTGTCTCTTTCAAAATAAACAAACAAAAAGTGCAAACTGTGGAACCAGCCTGCCTGGGATGGAATTCCAGCTCCACTACCTATCAAGAGAGTCATGTCCTCTTAGGGCAAGCGACCTAACCTCTCTGAGCTTCACGTCCCTCATCTGTACAAATGGAGGCAGAAAAGATGGCCACCTCCGAAGACTGTGAGACTAAAATGTTAATAGTTGTAAAGCATTTAGGACACTGCGTGGTGTCCAGGAAGCAGTGAATACACATTGCCTATTATCACTAGCAGTATTGATTGGATTGGAAAAGACTGGAAGATGAACCTAGAATATCTAACTGATTCCAGGGGACTGAGAAAACAAATGTGCTGTAAGGACCTGCGGTCTTAACTACTATGCTTATCTGACTTCACTAAAGGCAAGAAAGTAACAAAGAGAAATGAATACATATAGAGTAATAAGAACCAACGACTGTGGTTTCTAAGGTATGGCTTACTTTCTGGCATCTAATTTTTCTGTTCTTTATTAGAAGATCTATCTTCTGTTCACTAAAATTTCGTAATATTTCAGTTATTTCCCATCCAAGAACAAGTCAGTAATCACACCAAGACGAAATCACTCCATTAACTAAGCCCTAACTATGTGCCAAACACCATGCTAATTTCATCAGACACATTTATTTTATCCTCATATCCTTATTATCCACATTTTATCGTTGAGAAAACTGACTTAGAAGAGTTAAGTTACTTGCCAGGGTGACAGCAAAATCAGAGCTTGAACACAGTTATGTTTGACTTATGCTATTCCGTGTGAACCAATCCTATGAATTCATATATATTCCCTCCACACTACCCTAAAGGATGCTAATAAAGTGAATTAGTACTAGGGGCTTTTATGAGAGATTGTGCATTTAATTAGGGCCAACTGAATATTTGATAGTGTAAGTAAATGCAAAGGGAAAGTACTAGTTTTCCTGGACTAAAATTGGCACTGAATGAAATATTAATCATTCAGGTACTCACAAGAAAATCATATTGGTTTACCACTGATCATCCTTCAGCTGCTTATGAAAATTTCTTATCAGTGTTGCTATTTAAATACATTATATATGACAAGTGTAAGTTTTATTTTTTATTTTTTTAAATTTATTTTGAGAAAGATACAAAGAACAAGCGAGGGAGGGGCAGAGAGAGAAGGAGACAGAATCCCAAGCAGCCTCCATGCCATCAGCA